TATATATATATTATACTATATATATACATATGCTATATATATATATATATATATATATACATATATATATATATATATATATTTATTTATATATACATATATATATATACACACACACACACACATATATATACATGTGTATATATATATGTGTATATATATATATATATATATATGCCATATACATATATATATACATATATATATATATATATATATATATATATATATATATATATATATATATATATATATATATATATATATATGCTATATATATATATATATATATATATATATATATATATATATATATATATATATATATATATATATATATATATATATATGCTATATATATATATATATATATATAGTTATATATATATATTATATATATATATATATATATATATATATATATATATATATATATATGTATATATATCCCAGTTTTTCATTCAGAATAAATATTAGTTTCTTTCATGAATAAATATATTGACTAACATATCTATAAGCAATTTGGAGCTCATGCATAAATAATCTTAACATTAGCCCCATATAAAAAAAGAAACTGGGAAGGGCTGATTTCCTCCTTCCCTCACTCCTTTTAATCCCCTAGTGACCTACATAAACTATTTGCAGTTTTCTGGCTTTTTTCTATCATTTTCAGGCATCTGTTTTTAGTTCCACATGTAATGGTTATTCATTAGATGAACAATACAAATTAAAACAATTATTATAAATCCTAATTTTTATTCCTCCAATCCATCACCCCATCCTTATTACAAATAAAACCTAAAAAAAATAATGCCATCTATGTTTAGGCATTATTCAGTTAGAATAAATTTAAAAAATTGCCATTATCATGATTGTCTTGAAGAACAAAGAAAACTTTAGAAAGCAAAAACAAAAAAAACTCTTAGGGTCTGCACACTCACTCACTGACTCACACTCACTCACAAAAGCCATTTATTATAATAATTTGTAATGTTATCACTCAGAATATATATTATATTTTAATTGATTTTTGATAATTTTATCAAGTTTGTCTTTTTTTTTTTCTTTTTAACATATTTTAAAATTAGTTATAATAATGAATATGAATTATTTTAATTTTTATATTCTTTGATGTTTGTCCATTTGGTTAAATTTTTGGAAGTGTTGATTTTCTGTTCTCTTATGACTTTTCTGTACCCCTTATCAATTTTAATAATTGGTGTAACATCTTTGTTACAGTTCTACTGCCTGGACTGTAGTCATGAGAGAATGGTTTGAAATGTGCTCATTTACTCTTTGTCAACCATCATGGCTTACCAGAAATAGTGTTTTTATCAACTGTTGATGGGACAGGGTACATGTGAATTAATGTGCTGTTTTTTTGTTTTTTGGTTTTTGGTTTTTTTTTTTTTTTAACTTTATTAGTGAAAATAAGTCAAAATTCAAACTCTATTCATGGATTTTTTTTTTTTTTTTTTTTTTTTTCAATGCTGATAACCATTGGAATACCTTGAAACTCTACATTTTAAAACTATGGTTCTCAGTGTTATATTATTGTAAACATTTTCAATATTACACTCCTTTCAGACCAGCTATGTTAAACATTATTTTACATGGCAAAAGTTTGTTTAAGGCTGCATTTTTTTTTTTTTTAAACAAATTCTAAACCAATAGCAAGCATTTATATGAATATAAATGCTTGCTATTGGTTTAGAATTTCAAATACTAATTTTCAAGGCAGCCATTTGTATACCCCTTTCACTTCAAACCTTTTGTTGTACTAAGCAAATATGGTGTTGAAAAATTCACAGCCCAACATATTTTCTAAAATCTGATCAACCATTGTTTTTTTTTTTTCTTGTCTAGCTGAGAACTTTTCAGTACCTCCTTATTGATTGGACATTTTCAGATTCTATAAAAATTATTTCTGACTTGACATTTTTGAGTTCAATTCCTTATAAGTAGATTACAGAAAAACCTTTTCTTTTTGCATCTATGATCCTTTTTATTGCTTATTTATCTGTAGTAATATATGCAGGCAATGTAATTTTGTCCACAGACAAGTTTTTTTGAGAACTTCTGCCACACTAAAGTAAACTTTAGGATAACATACTTGTTTGTGCTCTTTATTTTTGGGGGATTTGTCACTTCAATTGTTTATATCCTGTTTCTTGTGGTGCCAAAAATCTGATGTGAAGTTGTCTACTTATCTCACAGATTATTCAGACAAGTGTCCTCATTGTTGTCTTTGATGACTACATTTTAGCTACAAGGTTCTCTGCCCATCCTCAACTATGTTGCCCACTCTGATCTTCAGGACATGGGTAATCATGGCTCTCAACAATTTATCCTTTGTAAATCTAAAATGTTTGTCCCCCACCCTTAACAAGACAAAAGACGTGCTCCTCCTCAAGAGGACACACAAAATCTAAAGAGCATGTTCATAATAAACAAAGAAAAAAAAATGTATCCTACATTGAACTCTTTTACAATGAAATCTACAATGCACAAAAACATAGAAGGATTTGAAATATTAAAGTCTGAGCTAAGATTAGCACTGGCCAAGATGAACAAGAATAAATCAACAGGGCTAGATATAATTATAAGAGAGATGCTATCAGTCTTAAATTATTTTGGGATCAACAAGATTATAAAAATAATAAATGAAATATACAACAGTAGTGACATACCAGAAAATCTTAGATCCATCATAATGATGTCTAATTAGCTAGCTGCAAATGAATTTTTTGCTCCATTGATCAATTGGCTCATTGAGCTACATAACTATACTTAATCTTCTGGATTCTGATACATAAAATGCATAACAGAATTAAACTGGAAATACAGTGTGATTTTGTTAAAGACTCTGGAAAAAGAAATGTCATCTTGATGATCAGCATGAACAGTACAATTAGACATATAGATATGTCTAATGTTTCATAGACTATGCAAAATCATTTGATAAGCTATGACATAAAGATTTATTTGAATTGCTAGGAAACCTTTATTCATTTGGGAAGTGTATTAGAATAATCCAGAATATGTACTAAGAACAAAATTCCTGCATGTGGATAGAAAATGTATTGAACAAATGCATAAAAATAGAAAGACATAAAACAGATTTATTTAATCTATACAGCAAAATGATCAAAGGAGAACTAGAAGTCCCACCAGGATTTATTATTGGTGGACACAATCTTAAGATACAATCTTGATTGCACTATGTTAATAACACACAGAAAGAAAACTTAAGGAACTCCTAAGCAAAAAAAAAAAAAAAAAAAAAAAAAAAAATACAGTAACAAACAGGGACCCTCCATCTTTTTGTCAAAAGATTGATTGACTTGTTGATTTTGTTTAGCGGCATATCAACCTCTATGCAAGGAAAAAGAATATATGGTTGTTAGGAAGATGCAAGCTGGGAATTGGAGATGCCAAAATTGGGGAAGTGTTTTAACTAATGACACTGCAATCTGGAGGCACACATTGAAATAGCAAATGATGCCATCCAAAAGCTAAACAATATATTTAAAAAAAAAAAAAAAAAAATGGAAGCAAAAGTGCTAAAATGAATTTGAATTTCCTCACAGGTGAATAGGAGGCAACAGATGTTGTTCTATAGAAGGATGCAGAAAATATCATGGACAGAACATGTAAACAATGTGGAAATTTGAAGGAAAATAGGAACAAAAAGGACACTTACATTTAAAATCAGAAAAAGACAGCTGAAATTTCTGGGACACATAATGAAGAGTGTTTCACCTGTTTGTTTCACTTCTTCTCGCATGTGCACACACACACACACACACACACACACGCACTCCACTTCCTCAATTGATAAATTTTCAACGCCACTTTTATCATTTATCCTTGGAAATTTATTTTTGTTTATACAGTTAGTAATTTGGCAAAAAATTGGATTATCAATGGAAGTGGATATTTTTAAAGTCGCTATTATTTTTAGTTCTCATGTTTGTCGGATTCATTTGAAAACCATAAATTTTGCCTTTTTTTTTTTTTTTTTTTTTTTTTTTTTTTTTTTTTTCCTAATATACAACACAGATACAATAAGGATTTTTTTTTTTTTTTTTAACCTTGTATATTGGTTATTTATTATTATTTTTTTTTTTTTTTTATTCTCTCTGACTATTGTGAACAATCACAAAATTTACCTACTCAATAAAAGCTTTTATTGATGAGTGTTTTTTGTTTTTATTTTTGTTCATGTGTGAGTTTGTTATTAGGGTCTGTAAGTTGGATTTTAGACACCCCCCCACCCACCATATTATTTTGCCTCATGGACTTTTGACATTAGATTTGATTCTAATTTTTGCCTATACTACTTGTATTTTTTGCATTTTTGATTTGTAAGATACATTTTTACCACCCTTGTTGTTTTGGACATTTGTTCACAGACTTTGGTTTATTCAACTTAAGTGCATTTATTTGAACTTTCTTTTTTAGAAGCCAAGGCAATAAAGAATAATTAATAATTTCTACCTCATTCAAGAAATGTCATTTGTATGACTTTTTTTTTCTTTTTCTTTAAACTAATTAAACAATGCCAATAAAAATTTGACCAAACATTATCATCATAACATGGAGTAATAAGTGATATGCAAATATTAAAAGTGAAATTAATGCATGAACATGTCATCTGGATAGACAAGATAGGAAATGTCTACTCTAATTAAAAAATAATAATTATTAAAAAAGAAAGATTTCTCAATTCATTAGAAATTATTAAAAATGTTTATTTTTACAATTATGAACCAATTCTTTATTTTACCTGTTTATACCAAATATTAGAAACCTTGACTCATTTTGATATTTACTTAACTTTATTTCTATCAAGTTTTGTCAGCAAAATAAAACAAAAAAAAAAACGGCTAACATGACTCATATAGATGTCAGTATACCATTTTCACTGAGAATAGTGAAAGTTCAAGATTGATGAAATTTTTTTTTTCTTTTTTTTCCTTCCTCCCCTCCCTCCTCAGACAAAGATACCCTGTTGAGATACAAAGACCGATGGGAAGAATCTGATACAGAAAAAAAGGATAACAAACTGACCAAAAGTGAATTCCTGAAATTCCGTCACCCAGAACACAGAGATGATTCTATGCAAGAAATGGCAGGAAGTATTATTCATGGATTAGGTAAAGTACATTTTGAATAATTCTATTCCTGCTTTATTTTTTTTTGTTTTTAATGTATCAATTGTGTTCAATGTCTGCTTTCTTGTTTCAGGTCATCTCTTTGTCATGATTCCATAGTTTTATATTGCAAACACCCAGATTGTGGATTTGGGAGCGGCACTTCAATCTACCGACACTTTTACAATCCTTGTCACATTCAATACATATAATAGCATTTTGTATAGCAGTGTTTATAACAACCTTATGGTGATGACACCTTTTAGCCATACTTTAGTAACTCTACTGCACTCATTGCATATTAGGTTTTTTAAATATTACCCATTTTAAAACAAATCCTGCTCAAATTCTATTAGTCTGTTATACATACAATTATCACAGCACAAACTTTAAAAAAAAATAGTGGATGGATTCTTAGCATGGACAAATACATGAATTCAGAATGATAACGAACAGTAACAAATGCCAATATGCAAATTAACAATATTTAATTATAACACTATGCAATACATGAAAACATTTAGTCAAGAGAATGTGTAGAAAGATGTATACGTTTCTGTGTGGAAAGATGCATACGTTATTTTGTGAAGATAAGAGTTGAAACTTCAGTTCTACTGAAATAAAATGAAATTTTTCTTTTCTCTCATGTTTCTCTTTGTCTTCTTTCAAATCATTTTATTCATTCAAGTAGCGATGTCCTTTGATCTATTCTTCTTACTTCAATATCACTTTCTTTAGTCATTTGTGGACGTTCAGCACTATAGAAGTCGTCCATTCAATTAAGATTTGGCACTGTATAAGTCATATATTAAGCAGTGCAGAATTCATAATTTGGATCTTTCATCCCACTGAGCATATCACATATGCATTTCTTAGGTGACTGTCACATTTTGCCTTTCACCTCTGCCTTTACTGTAAGCAGCATAGTGTTGAGTTGAATTGGAGTTCATTTTTTATCTTACAATCTCTTGTATGACTGTAACAAGTAAAAGGGATTATTTGCACAAGACTCGTTCCATTTGATTCTGATTGGGGTTTATGTGAATTGGGTATGGCATTCCTTCTCTTCAGTTCAGAGAATCAATTCACATGTGAATTTAATCGATGATCCATCTCCTTCATGCTTAATTACCCAAACTGGTTTTTAAAAAAAAAAAAAAAAAAAAAAAAAAATCCCCCCGGCTCCGTCATTTGTATTTGGTCACATGATTTGTCACATGTATGAGAATCTATTTTTAGCTTCAGCTCCCACCCATTGCTGTGGGCATCAGTTCCTTTTGACCTAATTGTCTTTACATTCAGCAGCTGCTATTATATATATATATATATATATATATATACATACACACACACACCAAGAGAGATGGGGAGTTTACAAGTTATATTAGAGAGATGGGAAAAGGAGATCAGTCTTTAAGTGTAGATTGTGTGTGGGTATGGGTTGTGAGTTGCGGAAAGACATAACATTGTTCATACCCTGTTCACACAGTTTTAATTTTAAACCACTTCATTCCACAAAACCAGATCCCGTGTTTAATTCTGCCACTAGTCTGTAAAGTGTTGCACTTTTATTCAGGGTCATTTTCACTTATGATTTATGTACAAGTCTCTTTTTTTTCCTAAGGTCACTTAAGGAGAGCATAGAAATTCCATCATCTTCCCGTCTTATTAAATAGCTAGTCTACCTTACCATCTAAAAAAAAAAATAAAAGGAATGTATTAATTAGATGGTTCATTGGCATCTCTTGTGAATTCTGCATCTCCACTTTACTGATTCTCAATACATTATTAGGAAATTTGTTTCATTGCATCTTGATATTAAAACTCTTAACAATTGCCATAATTTTTGACGACACGTATAGCGTTGTATATTCATAAATATGTATTTTCCTTTTTGTAGATAAAAATGATGATGGGAATTTGACTGTTGAAGAATTTATAGCCTTGCCTCCAGGTATTTCTTCAGACGTTAATACCGAAGAAGAAGACTTCAAGTGGCAGAATGAAAGAAAAAAAGAATTTACAGATTCCATTGACCTCAATAAGGATGGCATTGTTAATTTGAATGAACTGAAGGTATGACTTCTGTTTCAGCTCGAAAATAATTCCTTATAAGCACTCAAAAAAATCCACCCTTATTTTCTCAAATGTTATAAGATATTGTCACAGAAAAGTAAGATTGAATTCGAAATACCTTCATAAATGTTCCTTCTAATATTGGACTTCAGTTATGTGAAGAAAAATTGGCCACCATTTCCAGTGATAGAGAGCTCAAAATAAAACATTTGACAGTATCCACGGATACATTTTGGATTTCAATACAAAAGGAATATCCCACATTAGCAATTTTCTACTTACGTGAATTTGGCTTCTCAACCCTAAATAACATCAAAAATAAGAAGCGAGAAAGACTACGCTCAACTGAAGAAGAAATGAAGGTCTGCTTATCGTACATTTGATCAAACATCGTGAAAAAAAAACACCAGGCACAGGTTTCAAAATAAATAAGCTGCACAAATAGTTGAATAGAAACATTGAAATAAAGTTCATGTTCATGTGTGTACTTTTTAAATCTGTTTTTATTTCATAACATTTAAATGCATACCCTTTAAAAATTTTGCTAAGTGTGCCGTGACATTTTCATTTGCTTTTAGGTGTGCCATTGCTTAAAAATGTTGAGAAACACTCAGTTAGATGATCATGGTTAGTGCCACTTGTTATATTTGAGTTTTTAAGCCCAAACGCTAATTAAATGTCATGTTTCATGAAAAGTTTCATTACACTTTTATCTGTCTACCATTTGTCTGTGCATTGAAAATTGCTGCCACATCTTGCCTGGTACTTCTATGTATTGACAGATTCTTGACAAAATCTGGAGTCTGCAATGTTATCAATTCTGACCTGGCATCCCGTCTTCAGTCACATTCCCACTGCCATAATGTAGCTTCCCTGTGCCTTTTTATTTATAAATATTTTCAAGGTAATTTTTCTGTAACCCCCTTCAGCTGATTCCTTACTAGTTAACATATTGCTGGTTTGTTGTTGATGTGATGATGAGCACATTTCCACTCAATCTAGCTGGCGTTTGCCTTCACAACCATTCACTCCTCTGCCATATTGTGTTTTTGATCTCAGAAGGTGAGAAGATCTCTGATGAAGTAAAGTGAAGAACTGGTCAACAGCATAGAGCTACACAAAAAAGAATTCTTTGGAATTAACTCTGGTTCAAAATGTAACAATGCTTTTGTTTATATATGATTTGTTGTAAACAGCAGTTTTAACCCTTCCCACTTGTTGTTATAAGCAAATGACACTGGGTTCCCCTTTTGGAATTTACAGCTTGTGTTAGTATTAATTTAAATTTCTAAGTTCTGGCCTTCAGGGTTGGCACAAGGTCTTGGCAAATGATGTGAATTCCAGTAGCAGTCATGTGGGGACTCTTCAAGTTGTTCAAACCTTCAGCCTCCAGCAAATGTTGGCTTGGCTAGGGTCTGGGGTTCAGTTATCTTCCACCCATAGCATCAACTTTCTTTTAAAATTCCATATTTTCAAAATATGTTTACTTGTGTAATTTTCCAAATTTAGGAATTGTCCAGCCCCATTTTGAGAGTGGTCAGAGGAATCAAGCCGTCCCTTAACTACAACTCCCTTCATGTCTCATCTTGCACCATCACTCCATGTAGGTGGTGCTTCACTCACTCACTCACTCAGTCTCTCACACACACACACACACACACACACACACACACACACTTCAATGCCTGGTACAACTGTTTTTGTGATGAATCTAAACTTTTAAAATGTGTAGGTGAAAAGGGGATTTCCAGTAATTAATTTTTATCAGCTTGTCTCCTGCTGGTCGTTTTAAGTGATTCCTTAAACAACCAGGCCACACAGCCAGTTGCCTATGGTCATTCCAAGGCTAGTAATTAATTTTTCTTTATCACTTGTATCCAAAAGAATCCAAAATAATGTCAGCCATAAAAATTGATGAATGTCACAGAAATTAAAATAAATGAACCAGTCCCCAGTCTTAGGTGCTAATCTCTATTTTTGTAGGGATATTTCTGTTTTGTATAGCCAATTCAAACCAGATGCTTTTTCTGGTTATTTGTCCAGAATAATTTTAGATGTTTCTTTATTGACAACATGTTATTTCTATTTTCCAGGACTGACATCTTCAATGATACATTCTCTTTATTATTGGTGGGAAGGACTGGTAGTCTTAGTTTTGCTCAATTTTACCGAATTCCATCTAGTTAAATTTCAGTTTGATTCTTCTTGGAACTGTTTGGGATTTCATTTTATTATTTTGAAACTTCATTTTTCAACACATTTTGTTTTTAATTTTCTTAACTTTTCAATCCACTTTCCTGTGAATTTCAACAATTATCACCCAGTTAATAGTTTCTTTCCTCTTCCTTTTATTTTTCTTTCTTTCCCTTTTTGTTTGATTAACTCCCTGAGATCATAGTTCTGATGAGCTTTCTTTTTTAATACTTCGACTTCATGAATTTATGTGCAGGACTAGATTAGCAGTTATGTCTCATCATTTTACTGTTGAAATGGCTAGATGTAATCATATGATCTCTGCTAACAGTTTCTTCTCTCACACTCGCTTGTGGAACTATCTTCCAGTTTTTTGCTTTCCTGTCTCTTATGATCTTCAAAAAAATATGTCAGTTGTCATCTTCTGTTTCCTTAAATCTTGTTCTTCTAATGTCTACATTATTTTCTCAGTTTTTTTTTTCACTCTCAGTAAACCCTTACATCTTAGTGACTTTATCACATTGCTTGGGGTTTTTATTAAAAAACAAAACATGCATGTAATGATTAATGGCTCAGAGAAATTTCTTAGCTAATTTCAAATTCCTGCAGTGTTTGTTACATTTACTTTCACATAAATATCCTTGGGGAAAGGTATGAATCCATCTTTTCTCCCCTTAGAGATAGGTTAAATAGCTGCATAGACTGGACTCTTGCCTTGAGGTGGCAACCTTGTATAGGTGAAGGAGAAAACTGAATTAAAAAAAAACTACCTGAAGAGTATTTGGCTGTCTTTCCCTAGATACACTACTGCGGTTATAGCTGCAGTACATGAAGTGCCCCCTACAACCCTAATGGGTTACAGAACTCGTGATGTGATTATCTGTATGCCAGGATCTTTTCTCATGTATTGTTCTTTATAAACATAGCAAATCAATTAAAAAGAGAAGGAAAATGATTTATTTTTCTTGAATAGAAAGTTCACTTACAGGTAAATAACTTATTTTGTTTGTGTCTTTTAGGCTTACCTGAATCCTCGCAACCCAATCCAAATAAAGAATGAAGCGATGGCCATTTTAGAAATGATAGATGATGATTACAATGGAAAGTTGTCCAAGGAAGAAGTGAAGAGACATGAAACAGAATTTATCTACAGCAAAATGGTGGAAACTGCCAGAAACTTCCATGACGAATTTTAATGACAAAATTATGCCAAAGTCTTTCCTTTTTAGTGTAAATATGAATGACATGGTAGCCATCAAGAAGACTTTCCTTCTTTGCCTTCCAAATATTATATTGGATAATTGATGACTTTTTAAGATTTCTTGTAAATTCGTATTTTTTCATTATATTTCTTTATAGAGAATGAATTTTACGTAATACTCCACATGGTAACAATTGAACCTTTTTTTTTTTTTTTTACTTTGACAAACTCAAAGTGGTAATCTTTCACAAAAGGTGCTTTTGGGGTAAAAGTAACAGATAATTATAAATTGTCTTTTTTTGACTGACATCTACTGTGAAGTGCAGCTAATAAAAATATACTGAGCTTAGTTGAAGGGATATATATATATATATATATATATATATATATATATATATACATACATACATTTCACTTCTGTTTAATTATCGTTTTAATTTTTAATATTTTCTATTGGGTAAATTTAACATATTAAGTGATTGTATGCAACTCTCTTTTAGTATTTACTGAACTTTATTTGATACATGGTCTTTCAAATACGGAAGATCTACCTGCTGTCTTGAAAATCAGAATTCAAAATTCTGACCTTGGTTTGGGCACTGGTGGTCAATGTTTGAGCCTCAAAAAAAAACCTGACATTTCTATCTGAAAAATATCCTTTACTTTATGCCAATTAATGTTTTATAATTTAATGCTGAGAAAAAGCTAACAAATTTCTATTTCAGTTTATTCATTCATTTTGAAACTCCATTTTTTAAATAAGTCTTTAAGCAACTATTCCAGATTGTCACATTCATATGTCAGTAAGATAAAGATTCAATTTATAATTCACATTGCTGTTATTTCAATTTTTTTCTGGACATTGCACTTGAGCCTGGAAATATTTGGGCCATAAATTATACACTTAAAGATAAATATACTTTCTTTATATACATATACATTTGTGTGTATGTAATATTTACATTAAATATTGTAACGGCCAATTAGATTTTGGATATGAAAGATTTGCTCTGTACCCTCCTCTTGCACAAAGTACATTTATACTCTTGAAAAATCTTAATCTTCAGTTGAGAACTATATAACTGACCTTGGGCAAATCTCGTGTCCTTTTCATTATTGGCTTATAATCTTTTATATCCTGTAAGTTTTTATTGTTATAGATTATATAGACACAAATATTTCAGTAAATGCTCTGTTTATAATAAACAGTATTAACAACATTTACTGACCTGAATGTCAGAAATCTCATAGAAAATATGCATTCTCTGACAGGAATTGAACCTGTATCTTGCATGGAACCATCATATATACAGAGGACGCATATTTTCTATGAGATTTTTGGACATTCAGGACTGTAAATGTTGTTAATACTGTTTATTATAAATAGAGCATTAGCTGTAATATTTGTGTCTATATAAATAATGTATAACAATAAAATATATTAAAATAATTGTTGGACTTTGTCCATTTCATAATATACCTGATAAGTATAAATATTTTACACATCATGCAGGCAAATCTGCCTTATGCCCACAGGAGTCAGTACAATTGTTGTACTTGCAATGCAAAATCCTCAGTATCTTGTTAATATTTAACTTTATACATAAGTAACTTTTTTTTTTTCTTTGTATTTTTTCTATTTTTTTAGTCAAAACTCAAATTTAGAAATTAAGTTGGCCAAGTTTCAGTTTGCTGAATGACAAATATTTTTTTATAAATAATATTCAGTCAGCATTTTTATTTCATGACTTCTTTTTTCTTTTTTTTTTTCTTTTTTTACTTTTTTTTTCTTTTTTTACTTTTTTTTTTCTTTTTTTTCTTTTTTCTTTTTTTTACTTTTTTTTTACTTTTTTCTTTTTTTTTTTTTTTTTTTTTTTTTTTTTACTTTTTTTTTTTTTTTTTTTTTTTTTTTTTTTTTTTTTTTTTTTTTTTTTTTTTTTTTTTTTTCTCAATTATCTGAGAGTACTCAGTGCTTAAAGTATTTTCTTTCTACAGTTTGCAAACCAAAAAAATAGACTCAAGCTTTTCCAGCATTTTTAAGATGCAAGACATCTCACTTATAAATTTGAGTTTAGCACCGAATACTTGAGATTATTTTTGGACATTCCCTGGATAAAAAATTAGATGCAAAATTGATTCTACAATTGAAATCTAAAAACAACTTTTTTGTTAGAAGTAAATGACCAACTTCATTTATTTAAAAAAGAAAAATAAAACCCAACAATGAAATGCTGAAGCAGTTAGTCCATTGCTTTGAACACAAAGCATTCATTTTTTTTTTTTTTTTTTTTTTTTTTTGTGAATTTTATCAATTTTGTTATGTACTTTCTCTTTGTGTATATTTGATACTCTTGGCCTTAAGAACACTCACACTCTCTCTCTCTCTCTCTCTCTCTCTCACATGCACAAATCTTTCATTCAGGATCATATTTTCATAATTTATTACTAGTGAACTGATGATCCATTCAAATGTAAATTTTTTTTTTATTAAAGTTCACTAATTTAAAATATTGTTTGACAAATTTGTGATTTGTTTTGTTTTTTTTTACCTACATGTTCTTTTTGAAATGATTAATATAATTAAATGCCCAAATTAGAACGGCATTTTACACATTGCCAGTAAAACGGTCAGAACATGATTAAACTTATGTTATTGCAAATCTTACCTATACAAAATATTTTCTATTCATCAAAATACAACTGGCAGATACCTTTAACTTTTGAATTTCATTACCTCCCTTTGTTTTATGTTCAGAGCATAAGTTATAAAGCTTAATATTTATTTTTGTAATATTGGTTGTAATTTTAATCCTTTTTTTTTTTTTTTTTTTTTCTTTAATTCTTGAAGCCTGCTATATTTACAGGTATAATTTAAAAATAGCATAAAGCTACAGGACCAATTTGTTGAGTCATTAAAACAGCTCTTTTCTTTTCTAGAAGTGTATAAAGAAGGGGAAATAATACACTCCTTGAATGAAATATTAAGTTTTTGTGGTTGTTGCTTTTCAGAAAAAAAATTCTATAAATAAAAATCTATGCATTACAAGTCATCATATTTACACCATCCTGTAGATATTCTGATGGTTGCATTCATACTGAAGTTCACATATTATGTGTGTATGCCTCATCCAAACATACACACACACAGTGTGTCTTAAAATGACTGAAGTCTTGTGTGATAATGCATAGTTGTGGTTAGGATTATAAATTCACTTATAATTCACCACAGAAAATAATCAGGGGAAAAAAATGATGAAAGGACCACAAATAAAGCTGTGCAATATAATAAATGAAATGTCTATCAGATTCTGTCTCTTGTTCCTGTAGTGACTGATAAATGACACTTTCACAAACCTAATGATGTGGATGGTATTAATATTAATCAATGCTTGAATTGTCAACATTTTAGATAGCATTTTCATTTATTTGCAATGCAGCCGTGTGTAATAGAATGGAGCTCTTATGAAATAATGACACACTCACACACTTTGTAATGTTCTGTTTTCCTATTAACTTGAACCAAAATGTTCAAATAATAGGAAAGATCCAATTGTGAAAAATCACATTTCCTACCTTCATGTGCAATTCAGTTTTTAGAATTGGTCAAAACTCAGTCACCATTTATTTTTTTTTTTTAATTTATTTATTCTATACCAATCTTGAAGGCCAATGTTGCTGCTCATTGATTAACAATAACAAGTAGTTAATATTTTCAAGTGGAAGAATTGAGGCTGCTAAAAAGAATGAATCCCATCATTAGTGCTCAAGTGACACTTATTAAAAATAAAATTATTTCAGAAGAAAAAAAAATCCATGTGTGTGTGCATGAGTAGCATGTAAGTAATCTTGTCTAACTATGGCACTTGAAAGGGATCAAAGACTGAATACTTTGAAACTTAGTATTTAAAAAAATGTTTTTATTTTGATTGCTCAATTATTATTGCTTTAATATTAGTGGAATGCTGGATAATTAAACTAAAGTATTTTTAGTTTTGTGATGGGGAGCTTTAATCTAATTAACTTTGTAAATATTTTTTAAAGTTTCAGAATTGTTTTTAAGGTGATAATTTCCTTTTATTTCCTTTTACAATTTTTTCCTTATTTTTTATTTTAATTTACTGCAAATAATAGAATTAATTCAATACTTTTGCTTTCTACAGATAGAAATTATTTTTTAAGGCAGTTTAATTCAATCCCACTGAAGGTTATCTTGTGTTATCTAAATTGCAATTAAACTTCAAAGATAACATTATTAGGTAATATTATTTATTAAGTTCACTTTTAACATAGTAGATATATCAAAAAAATAAACCAAAAGAAATAATGTGAAAAATCAATTTTCTTTTTATGCTAATCATACATTGCTTACTTTCTCCCAAAGTCAAATTATATTTAATACTTTAAAATAATTGAATTTAATTCCGAGACTGTAGGAAAATCATTTCAATCTCAATGACAATTAGTATATTTGCTGTCATCATAATAGCCCATTATTTATAAATTGTTTTATCTAGTACAGATTATCATAATTTTAACGATACAAACTTAAAATAGTTATTTTTCAAGTATCTCCAATATCTCTGTACGTTTTCATTAAGTCAAAAAGTTCTCTACAGTGTGCTTCATTAATGTGGCATTGTGCCAGACTAAGCTTAGTAAATAATGACACCTACTGTAGTACAATGGTTAACTAATCTCATAACTCAATTCACTAATGAATTACCTTACCATCAAGCAGTACATCCTAAGGACATAAAATTGGTCCTGGCCAAATTCTTCTTAAGAGTATTTCTTACAAGAAAAATCTGTTTTTATTCTGTAGGAACATTTTTTCCCCCTCTAAGAGGAGCCATTACATTTTACTTGTTCATTGTTGAACTTTATTTTTCCTGAGTATTGTCTTCATTTTTTGTTTTTAAACAGATTATCTTCATTGGTCACCTTAATGTGTATGTTACCTCAAGTGGTCTTTTTCATTTATCTCCTCAGGTTGTG